ATATTATATAAACATCTGAATGCGCTGCAGTCAGGCTCCAAACTTTTTAGAGACTGTGTGCTTTTTATTTTTTGAAAGTGTTCCTGTAATTTTTGAGGCTTGGAGATTTTTTTCACAGTCGATCATTGTGTAAATTCATCTGGAGTTTTGCTTGAAATGAAAGAAAAATCTGATCCTGGCAACAAACAAGAGCCAAGATATATGCTGGAGCCAAGGAAGTTGTTTTGTCAGGTTTTTGGTTGTGTTTAATTGATAAAAAACGGTTTTTGTTTTCATTTTATTCTTAAATTAATTTGTACATATTTACATTAATTTGTCATTACATTAAGTTGTAAGAATCGCCTTTTGGTCTTCTTAATTTACATACCTAGAGTTCACAACAGATTTAAGTTTTGATTTAAACAGTAGAGATACAATCATAGGTATGCACATACCTCTGTTAAATAGTTGTAGTTCTTGGTGTGTATGGAGGGGGTGGGGGCTTCGTGTGTCAAACACCACTTTCATAATAGCAAGTGTTCCTTAGGCTAAAAGGGCTGGGTAGCACTGGTTTCTGGCTCATTCATGCATAGTACTGCAGAATGTTGTCCAATAAAGGTAGGTTCAGATGCCCTCTTGTGTTTGAATTGGAGTACTCCAGTGAAGTTGACAGTTATAGTCTTTAAAGGGGAACTGCAGCGCTATTTTTATATTTCAGGGTTAGAAAGAATCGGTATTTATAATTGCATTTCACAGTGAAACCAAAATGTACACGGTAACATGTAAAACCTAATTTACGTCACTGACTAGATGGGATTTCCAGGTATGTTCAGCACCATATACTGGGATTCGGGAGGCAACAAAGCTCATGAGCTTGTGAGGTGTAGCAACCCTATTACATTGTAAACAAGCAGGCTTGTGAATACATCTCTTAATGCAGTATAAATATTGTTCTCAACTCCGAGACGGTTTTGCCGATAAATTCTACTTGTTAAAGCTACATGCAAATTACTTCGGAACATTTTTACAGTGAAATGTCTTCTCGTACAACCTGCACATATTCACTCATACATCGCATTACGTTAGTCATTACAAACTCTCACTCTTGCTCGTCGCAAGATCAACGGCTTACGACAACATGGCAAACATACAGTACTTTCACAAAGTTCAGGATTATGTCCTCGGAAATGTGCCATCAATTAATATCTCAATAACCGGTATGAGAGATTGGGACTACAGTTCCGCTTTAAGTATCATCTGTAAGTTTTGTACGTAAGCATTAAATTGTCAGATATTCAAGACGAAGAACCCAGTAATATAGTAAAGTAAAAGTAAAGGGAAATAAGTCGGAAATATAAGTAAAATACATTGATGGGGTTTCCTTTTTTATTTGTACAGGAGTTTACACATTTTTGTGTAATAGTTTGTGAATTGTGCTAAAAGTTTTCATTTTTTGTTTCTTCTTCAGGCTGAAGCATGGCGTGTACATTTTTTGTTTGCATCGCGAATATGTTTCCTTGCACCGTTAAAGATGTGCAACTCTTGAATTCATCTGTAACTTACTTGTGTAATTCAGGGAACGTGTCCTGTTCCTCACCACCATATACAGGTAGTGGACCAAGAAAATGGAAACAACTCGGTAAAGGAGAAACACCCAGTATATACAAAGCAAAGGCTTCCACACAGGTGTGCCCATTTCATTAAGCAAACCTCCCAGCATGCTTAAGGTCATATAGAAAAATACTAAACAGGTTTGGTTTTCAGTAACTTTTTTAAATACATTTTTGGCTGGGGCTGCAGTGACCGACAGAGCTTAACTTGCCAGTGTGTCATGAGCACTGGTGTCTGAGCTGATGTCAACAGGGAACTGTGATCGAAAGACATCATCAGCAAAACCCAACAGTGCAAAGAAGCGCTTCCTCCTGGATGGTGATATCTGAGCATTGAAAGTTAAATACAGCCAGAGCAGCCAGTTTCGTCAGACATGTACCACCAACTTCACACAGCACGATACCATAGTCAGATTGCTGGGAACAAACTGCTCATCACACCTGGCAGTGCACATCTGTGAGTCCAGTGGTGCAAAGAGCACGGCAGTGAACCGAGCAGTGAAGACGTGTAACACGGTCAGATGAATCACCCTTCACCATGTTCTTTCCTAATAGATGAGTTAATGTGCGGCACCTACCAAAAGGCCTCTACAGCCCTCAGTGCTTGATTCCAACGGGGTTCTTGTGCCTTTGTAATGATGTACTGGACAGTGTATTTTCCATACATGGTCTGTGTATAGTTAATCCCTTTGGAAGGCAAGGCCACAACTAATGGCTACCTATTAGTATAGAGTGATAATCTTCACCCTGTTTTGCAGCAATTCTTTCTTGTCAGGAGGATGACAATACCTCATCACGTCCACAGAACACTTGTGATCACCTAGTGGCCAGATTAACACGAAACTGGTGACTTTCTCATTAACCTGATTTGGACCGAATAGAGCACTAATGGGATATTCTGTAAACAGTGCCCAAGACTGCATTTTCTACCTCCATTAACCTGGTGTTATTCCACATTCTGGTAGACTCTGTACCAGAGCTCATACAGGCCGTACTGAGTACTTGTGTTGGCCCAATGCCCTGTTTGGAATCTTTACACCGGAATTTCAGGTTTTGTGCGCTAAATCTGTATGAGAGCACCTTCCTGAGTGCGCCAACTTAAATTGCTTTTAGTTTGCTGCTGTGACCATAGCAAATGTACGTGTTTATATCCACTTCCTTTCAACTAGCTTGGCAATACTACCTTCCGTCCTTTTCTAGTTAATGACATGTTTATCCTTCAAGTGCTGCAGAAGTGAGAGGAATGGGTTATACAGAACAAGCATGCAGTCGCTATAAATATTCTGTAATGTGCATTTTTATAAATAGATTGCGTTGTCAGCCCTTTTAATATTTACTGGTGGAAACACTGAGGTTACATGACTACTTGTTTCCTGGAATAAATTGCATGTGGCGTTTTCTCAAAGTCTATGAACGGGACAAGGGAGGAGTAGAAAGTTGCTCAGGCTATAGATGTGTCTTCAGTCAGAGAACATATTTGGCTGGCTTATACTATGAGGGTGGGTTTAATTTGCGAAGGGACCTCCATTACCAGCCACAAGCAGGCAGTCTTCTTTACACTAAGACCAGGCAGTGAAAGATACAGGAGTCTAGTGTTGGAAAGGACGGTGCTTATTGTGCACCTGAATCTCCTGGATCGTAGCAAAATCCGTAGAAAACAGCAGTTCCCCAGAACAGGCTTTCTGTTTGGAGAGGGTGAAGATGCATTACGATAATACTTGTTCACAAATAAGCAACGAGGGGTGTGTAGTCATCCCATCACAGGTCTGAATTTGTGCGTTCGTTTCAGAGCTTCTACAGGCACAGCTTCTATATCCAGACTGATTATTACATCTTGTAATACTGTCAGAGACTTTTTTTTCTCTGTTTATTTGATATTACTTAACATCAGACTGGCGGAAACAGGCTGTTTCACATGAGACCCAAGTGTTTTCAGTGGCCTGCAGCCCAAAGTGAACAGAGCTTTCTGCATGTTTGTTGTGATTTTAAAGCGACACGCTTTTTAAAATGCAGTTAAAATTCTTTGCGTTTTTGCCAGTAAAGCAAAACACATTCATTCCTTCCAAAGGACGGGATTTTTTTTTACCATCAACCATAATTCTGTAAATTTTCAGAGCTGTGAAATTGTACACCGGACACATCACGTCCATGTTAGGTTGTAAAGAATAGCTGTCATACTCGCTTGACGACGGGGAAGTCAGCCATACACGTGTATATCAGTAACCTGCAGGGAGTGAAGTGCCAGTTTATTAAAGGGCTCTAGGTTCACTGATCAGCTTCACAAGTTAGGCCCTGTGGGGTATTTTTAAGTAGTTTCTTCTGTGTGTTAGACTTCAGAAGTAGGTGAGAAGTATCACATGGACTGGTAGCTTTTGAGCACCCTGCAGTCATGATCATACTGTATATCACAGGAAGGGCATGAAAATTGCATGGCAGATGTGGCATTTCTGATTTTGCAGTGTGTGCTGCCCGATTGTAGTGAATTCATGTCTGTTCTCCATGTTGGTCATTCCTTGTCTTTCCATATGACTGTCCTTTCTAGCCGGTGGTCTACATAACCTATCAATGACCAATGTCAGCTTTCTGCGGCTCGATTGCAGGTCTTCCGGCCCCGCACCCCCCCGGAGGCCATCGCTCTGTGCAGCCGGCTGCTGGAGTACACGCCCACCGCCCGCCTCACGCCGCTCGAGGCCTGCGCGCACTCCTTCTTCGACGAGCTACGGGACCCCAACATCAAGCTGCCCAACGGGCGAGAGAAGCCCTCTCTCTTCAACTTCACCACTCAAGGTACAGGCCGCCCGCCCCTCGGTATCTGCCCCGCTTTCATTTGGGAAAGGAAACTGGGAGGGTGGACCCTCAGGAGTAATGTACAGCCTGCCTTAGTCTTCGTGTTTTGTCTCTAGGTCAGCTGGTTTTGCCTTGTAAACTTTTACATTGAATACATTGAGCTGTGTAACCCCATATTAAAAAGTCCAATTTGTGAGGAAAAGTTCAAAAGAATAACAATGTGCTGTGTGGTTGTAAACAACATTCAAGACTTGCTAGCTGTCTTCAAAGGATGGCGTTCAGCCTCTGTGCAAAACCTAATGTTTTTCTTTTACATGAATACTGCTTAGAGACTTCAAAGAATCCAGTACTCATGTAGCTGTCATTAGTGGCTGCAGTTCTACACAGAACGGCAGCAATTTTCCCATTTCAAAACAAAAAGGCCGACATTTCCCATAAATCCAAACAACATGGGCTGTGAGGTGTAGGCAGACTCCTCCCCATGCTCACCTTTGAGCCAGTCATCTTTTTTACACCTCACAGGCAGCCCCACTCCATAGCAGCAATTAAGTGCTGATTGGAGGAATGGACAGGCTCATAGACAGCACAACATGCATGATTGCACCCTGGAGGCCACCAGGGATCACTGTGTTGCTGAGAACAGAGAGAGCCCAGCCCAACTCTAATCCCACCATAATCTCCACAGTGCTCAGACATTGGATTAGGGAATTATGGTCACGTTCAACAAATGGCATGATTCAAGCCATGATGGTAGAACTCAGGCTGAGCTGCTTGGGAGGCCAATCTTATTACTACACAATTCATACCATTTGGGATTAGGGGTCACAGTGCACACATCAAGTTTGTACGTACACATCTTCAGCACCAAATGTACTGACCAAATTAGTTTTCTAATTCGAGGACGTGGTTCTGTTGCATTTCTAATGTTTGATGCTAACCTCACTTTAGCTTCTGGCTTTCCTGAGATGACCCCAACATACACACACTTTCCTGTTCATTACAGTGCTTTAATGTATACTGCAGTATAAAAGTATTGGCTTTTGTAAATGCCATTCCAGGTGTTCCACTTGATGTACAGATCCAAAACCACTTGATGTACGGATACATCTTGTACATTTATTTGGAGTTCAGAAATTGGTATGTTCTTTATTTTAAGTGCAGGTCAAGTCAACCTCAGGATGAACCATAGCAAGCCAAATTGGTTGTCCTTCAGTGGAAGGGGGAATGTCTCTTAGATGGAACAAGATGATGAACATTATGAAAGTGAAGAGTGATAAAATGGGCCTGTTACTCACATACAAATTACACATTGAATAGAGAATACTAAGAGAGGACGGATTACAATTATTCTGAGTCCTTAATGATAATTACAATATCTTGTTGCTCTTCCAGTGAAGAGCAAGTGAATACATTCTGGGATTTGAGGGGATATCCTACACTGATATGTTGAAAGAACCTTTTTTTGTCTTAAACAATGGGACCTTATACCAGTATTCACCCAGTGGGTGTCTACTGAATGAACAGGCAGGTATGAACCAGAGGACACAAATGGAAACTAAGGGGAATGTGAAACTGAAGAGAGGAGGCACTTCCTTACACAAAGGGATGAGGGTGTAGGAACTATCCAACCATACAGGTTTCATGAGCTGAATGTCCTCCACTCATCAGCAGTCTTTCTTACATCTTGTAAGTACTGCTGTGTGTAGTCACTACGGTCACTAGCTCCAAGTAAAAAAAGGTAAAGAAACTCAGATTCAAGTACAGTTAAATACACTTAACGGAGTCGTTTGTGCAGGTTTGTTATCCTGTGTCTCTCAAAGCAAATCAAAACAAAAATTGAACACACAAAAATATAATTAAATAAACAATGAACACATGTATTTTGTAAAACAAATGATCAAGATGTTATTCAAGTCATCTTTCAAGAGTCCATGAAGACAGATTTCATTGTCCCTGTGGAAGCACCAGAGGTGGCAGTGTTTCTGGGATGTTCTCTGGAGAACTGGAGCTAGAAGCTACAGATTTAAAGGAGTCAGATGTTTGGGTTGTAAAATTTCACAAAACTAGAATTCAGGTGGCTTGCTCATTGTCACCAAGCAAAATGGATGGATTTCAAGAAATGACAGGACAGAGATAGCCTTTGCAAACCAGCGCTGTTTCCTTACAGCTCATCAGTTTTGCCCTGTAACGAAGTTTGGTTCCAGCTACATGAGTGAACAGCCAGACACACACAAGACCGTCTCCACTCGGGACTAGTTTTGGCTGCTTGCCAAGCGGTGGACCAGCAGAAGTGGTATTATTGTGAAAGTTTGTTTGTAGTGTGTAAATGAGTGTTTGATACCCCTGTCTTTCAGAGCTGTCCAGTAATCCCTCGCTAGCTTCAATCCTGATCCCAGCCCATGCCCGGAACCAGGCTGGAGCCTCCACTCCCACAAACGCCTCTGCAGCCTCAGGTGAGTGGCTCTCACCAGCTGACCCAGGCCCACCCGGGCCCTTCCCTGCTGGCATCAGTGATTCACTTCACTTTTATTGCCTAGCATGGGAGAAAGCACACCAGGAAAGTTATACGTGCTTGTCTGTAGCTTTTCTAAATTCAGTACCTTCTTTAGCGGATTAAATTCAGGATGCCTGTAATGTGATTTGGCCTGCTGAAACAGCTGTGTCATGAGAACTGCTGTAAACTGCAATGAAATTCAAAAAATCCCCATAAACGGATAGTCCACACCACAGAGAGGCACTATCACTGTCCCACCAGGGGGCACAAGGTGTAACCTAGCATTACAAATTTGATGGCGTTGATTTCTCTGGAGTATACGGTCATTATGCCTGAACGCATCATCCCTATGGTACACTAAATTCTTAAGATTTAGGACCCATCAGAGTTCAGTGCATTTTCCGGTACACTTGTTTTATGTGGAATTTAAATTAAATCCTTATAAGCTTTTGCCTAAGCTTTCAAAGGTTATTCACTATAGGTAAAGTTGCACTGGGATCAATCTATCAGGGGAAACAAATTGCATGAAATCCATGCAGCGTTTATGAAGTTGCTTCTTGACCATTTGAATTTGTTTTTTCTGTTACTAGGGCATAGTTTCACAAGAAAATAGATATTTTTGAATCATTTACAGCTGAAGAGCTTTGTAAACGGTAAAACTGGTCCACCTAAGATAATGATGAGCTCAATAGGTCATTAAGAGCTGAGCTGGAGAAGACACCTACAGACACAGCTGCCCTCCAGGACTGGAGTTGTTCACCACTGAATTAGGGTGACTGTAACTATTACTAACAGAGGTGTCAGCTCTAGAACTGGAGCTGGAATATTGTGGGTTGAAATCTCAGGCAGGAGGCTGCTGTTGAACAGTTGTACTCTTGAACAAACTGCTCCACTCAGCTGGCTCAACATAAATGAGTTTTCATTCTCGACTGATTTATCCGGGTAAAGGTTTCTTGGGATTTTTCAATCCTGTTGAAGCAGATGTAACTGCAGTCTACCAGCCATGTTGTCGAACGGTTGGCCCCATGCAACAGCCAACTTTGTTTGTGTTCTTAAATATTAAATCTTGTGTTTTTCTCCCCCTCTTTGTTCTCCAGACGCCAACACTGGAGACCGTGTCCAGACCCCCAACGCAGCCTCCGCCTCTGCGTCCAATTCCACCTGAGAGGACGGGTCCCAGGACAGTGCCCTCGCGTCACACTTGGAAGGCCCTCAGCCGCGCCGCTCTGAAATCGAGTTCAATTGGAGGAAACACAAAAAATCAGCCGGAGAGAATCCCCGATCGTTAGCGTTTATTTCTCAGTTTGTAAAATAGCGTATAAATACGTCCGTTTTTGTTTTTTTGTTTTGGGTTTCGTGCTCACCGAGGGGATGTTCCAGATAACACCGAGCAATATAGATATCCACGTCGTTATTCCCTTGACAATCTTATCGAGGTCTGTTGTAGCTAACCACCCAGCACACCCTTCAAACAAGTCCCAGCGCCCCTGGCCCCCACCTGTCCCACGCCCACGCTCGTTTTCCTCCTCTCGCGCCCCTGAGGTTTGGAGCCTGGCAGAAGCCTGCGTCCTGGGACCTGTCCCCCTGCTTGTGTCCGGGATCTGACTTAGTGCATGGCTTGAATTTGGTTGGGAGCACAGAATGAGTCACAGTGTTACATTAGAAAGTATCTCGTCTGCTTTTCCTTTGGCACACAAAAAAGAAACGCCCTTATTTTATACATATGTATAGATATCTACTTTTTTTCTTAAAAGCTTATCCAGACCCAGGATAGCAAGCATTGCAGTCCTTGTTTCTCGGAAGTGTTTTTATGGTTAGCGAGCAGATGTTTTTGTTAAGGTGGGGGGTGGGAGGGTGGGGCAGGGGGCTTTCTGGTGAGTCTAAAAATGACTCCCGTCTCTTTGTGCATCTGTGTGCTTGTATTATATATACATACACAGTTTATATATACTTTACATTATGTAAAATACATATATAAATATATATCGGAGGGGCTGCCACAGCCCTTGAATTAAACCGTTCAGAAAACACAGAAGGTCAGATGTTAAGTGTGCGGCAGCAATATTTGCTGCTGTTGGAAACTGTTCAGCTGGACACCTGGAGTTTAAATGTGAAAGCCAGGTTTCCAGCACGGTTTTATTTTTGTTATTGACATTTTTGACTTCATATAATTGTATAAACCTTTTGTTTCAGCCCTCGTTGCATCTCTCCTTATTTATTGCTGCATGTGTTAAACTTGCACGTGTCTATCATGAATGGCAAACGTAAAGACAAGTATGTGGACAACACCACTCTAACCATACAGCCTAATTCTCCTAGGAATAGGCGGTCCAGTTTTATTTAATGACACTTGAATTTTTTACAGTGAACGTTGAGTGTAATAAGGATGGATGCTTTAATTTTAAGATTTCACGAGCTGATTTAGTGTGATTAAATCTGATCATTAAACATTGAAATATGCTTTCATCAATATCGGCGTGTAAGAGTTTTGTTAGGGTTTAGTTTCAGTAGTGTTTAAAAGTACAGGAAAAAATCATAATCTGAAATGGAGGAGACCTCGTCAGGAGCATTTCTGTACAGTACTGACATGTCCCGGGTTTAAACAGAAGGCAAAAAGACCTGTTTTGCACAGACTGCTTTCTCCAGAAAAGGAGGTCCCGGCAACTGTAAGAGCTTTTCCACGTGGTAAAGGTGTCAAAAGTTTGAGGCTGGCTCAGAACCAGTCCAAGCTGTAGCAAAAATGTGAAACTGACCATTTTGCAGTCTGTGAATGTGCTTCCTCCTGTAGAGTAGAGGATCTCTCTCTTTCTTGTATCTATGCGAGCCCAGTGGCGCGCCAATAAGCACAGGTGACCGGGCGAAATATACCTTGTCTTTGATCATGCTGTGAAAAGAGTGCTGACTTATAACTCCGGTGTGAGAAGCTCCAAACGGGATGTCCCTCCTCTCGGGCTGATGGGAAGGAGCTGGTAGCCCGTGTATCTTCTTTGCCCATGTAAGAGTGATGATTCGAGGTCATTAAGCATTCTTCCGAGCAGTCAAAGGCACCAACTGAGGGACAGGTGACTCTAGTGTTTGAAAGAGGGTGAAAGGACAACACAAACCTGCAGGAAACGTGTCATGAAGAAGATGCTGTCAATCTGTAGGCTTCGGTTTCATTTGACCACTACTGAAGGATTTTGTGCTTCGTGTATTTTTTTTTAAATTGTTCTGATTTTTACTGTTATTACCTTCGCCCTTCCACTTTCTGTGCCACGACCCTTCTGCACCGCGCTGGAATACGTCTTATTTCACCCAGTTAGAAAGAAAACCATTTTATGTATATATCGTTGCTCCTCACCAAATTCTGGCTTGTACTTATTTTTGTTTTTGTTGTTGTTGTGTGTATGGTATGTAAATATGTGGACCCAAGAACTGTTATGAGCAAAAACAAACAAGAAGAAGAAGAAGAAGAAAAAAAAATTCAGGGCAAATAATTCTGTTTATTCAAAATGTAGATGAGCTTTTTCAAGCCATATAGTTCAATCTTACTGTACAGTAGGTGCCAGCTATATTATTGTAACAATAACTAGTAATGTATAGTGTATCTATAGTTTGGAGTGCCTTTGCTTCCATTCTTTTGAGATTTTCTTTCTCCCTCCTCCCTGCTGAGTGCTGCTGAATCCTATCCTGACCTTCTGACGTCCGATACGGCCAGTTCCGTGGTGCGGTTTCTCTGCTTGGTACAGCTCTTCACCAAAGTTCATTTTTCCCCGTTTGAAGTCGGAGCATCTAGTGTTTTTGGCGCGGTATTGTTTTCCGTTCTCCATATACCAGTGATCCTTGGCGCATAGAATTTGTTTTCACATTGAAGTTTAGGCTTCAGTGTTTTTATGTCTATTTTAAGTGTGTGATGTTTTAAAATCCTGTTGCAGATTTGCTGTACTTTTAATAAGCAATTTTAGACGTGTCCTTAATTGGTTTACCCTGAGGAGTGGTGTCAGAGTGTACAGTGTACACTCTTTACGTACAGCCCTTGCATTGTCTGTAAAGGACAAAGAAAAGAAACAATATTGATCTTTCAGCAGGTGGGTCAAGGCAGGTCTGTGTACAGTGTTAACTTAGGTTTCTAGTTGTTCAAAGGTTGGCTGTTGGCTCTCAGACCTTTTCCTTGTCACACTACCAAAATGAATTGATAATGTCACTGTAACAGAGGGAGGCAATAATGATCAGTTTTGATCTCTCCATGAAACCTTCTTTGATTGGCAGTCAGCAGCACTCAATGGGTTAATTACCATGTAGCTCCCCTCTTGTGGTTTTATATATACATATATGTGTGTATTTATGCATATATGTCTATATATATATACAATGCTTGCTTGTAATATTTGCATTCATAGATGTGTTGCTATTGGATCACCTGGCCTGTAAAACAAGTGTGACCACTTCTTGTGTCTAAAGTAAAATTAAATAAAAAGGACTGTGGGTTATATACAGAATATCGCATACACTTGTGGAAAAAAAAGCTGTCTTGATTTAAAAAGAAAATGAAAAAAAAACAACCTGTATAACATTATTACTACTTGAATGCCTCTGTTTGTGACTGAACATTTTTATTTCATTTTAAATATAAACTTTTTTTCCTGTGAAAGTATGCTAAATGTTCCCCCCACCCTCTCCCTTCCTGTAAATAAGTCCGTTTTGTTCTTCAGTGTGACTTGGTTCAAAATAGTTAACTGGTACTGTAATTTGCATTAAATAAAGAGTAGGTTAGCCTGGAAATGAAGAAGGTGTGCTGTGTCTCGCTGTTATTTATTAAGCAACTGTTATCTGTGCTTTCTTATTGGCGGCGTTGCTATGCCTGTTCTGTTGAAGAGCAAAAGCACATGAACCTCAGAAATCCCTGGACATTTCAGCCGGAGATCTGGTTTTGCACATAGAGAATCTGCTGTCAAAGCAGTGATCGGCTTTTTATTTTATATTCTTTGTGTTTTACAGTTACGTTTTTGTTTGGTTTACTTTTCAAAAGAGGTCATTGTTAAGATAAATTCACTTTATTGGCCATATACAATTTCTTGTTTTAGGAATTTGTCTTTTCGCATACCCCAACTTACTCTCTATGTGACACAGACGGGGAGAGAGAAACTTGGGGTCGGAGGGCAGGGTCAGCCATTTATACGGCGCCCCTGGAGCAGTTGGGGTTAAGGGCCTTGCTCAGGGGCCCAACGGAGTAGGATGGGATACGACCCGGCAACCTTCCAGCCACAGGTGCAGATCCTTATGGTCTAAAGAGGGGAGTGTCCCTGCGATTGACTGGAAAGCTCAGACTTATGGCTTCAAACAGAGCCAAAAAATAAAAAAGAAAAGTCTGACGCATTCTTGATCCGCAGGTTTTTACACAATAGCACTCTTTCCCAGCTCCTCATTGCTAGTTTTGCAGAGTAGTGTGTGTGTGAGGCAGATCTCATTAGGTTAAAATCATCACCTTTTGCAAACCGCCTTGCAACCTCACGGTGAGTATGGTTTTGTTTTCCCTAAGAAGTTCAGTTCACGTTTCTCTAAAGCTGTTTTGGGATGATGGACAGATCAGTGAACCTTTGTTACGTGTACACACCCAAACACCGGTTCCTGCTTTATAAATTAAAAAAAGGATCTGCAGTTGTCAAGGACAGTGTCTTGGAACAAAGTTGTTGAAAAATACGGTACACCAAAAACATTTTAAAGACATTCCAGCTGTTGCTCTGTTGTGTCTGTGCCAGCTCCAATATTAAAAGGTTTTTATTGAGGATTTTCATGTTGTGTATATACTGTTTAAATACAGCATAAAGTTCCCAGGTCCATCACATGTGGATCTTGGAACAGCCACCAGAGGGAGCTGTCCAATAAGATTTCACTCTTATTGTAGGGAGTTATTCTCTCCAGGTCTCTTTATAGTATTAATCTACACTGTTGGGCCTTAGTACTTAATTAGTTTGATGGTTTTACCCTCTATGATGTAGCAGAAATGTCTTTTATAATCCATTTATCTTCTTTTGTGTCTCGTGATCCCAGCTGTTATTTTGCCCAGTGTCTTAATTTGGATGCTTGATCAGGGACAAGGCAGATTTGCTGATTTGGCAGACCGTGCCTGCACAGGCTGAGTGTTGTGCTTGATAGTAGTGTGTAGAAGATCTTACAATGAACACCTCTCCAGGGTCCTGTTGTCTTCTACCCACTGCACTTCAAGAAATGAGATGTTCACAAAAGAAAACTCTTGAGGCTGTTGATCATGTTCCTCGTCAAAGATTAGTTCTCAGGTTGCAGGCAGTAGCCATTCAAGCTAATGGCAAGTTCTCTTAACAAGGTTCAAATACAGGGCAGGAATCTTAGTCCTTAAAGTTGATCTGAACAAGGAGCTTGCCTCTAGTGTCTCCTTTTTCTTTCTTTTGTGTTCTCCTCTCTTCCCATCTCTACCCGTCTTTTTATCATGTATTCCTGGACTGTTGACGTCTCTTAATGATTTACCCAGAACTTCATTAAGGTACACCTTACCATTTCTTTAATCAATGTGTCTCATTCCCACTACAGCTCGGCAAACATTTCCTTTCTTGATTTGATGCGCCCTAGAACTGCAAATGTTGGCACTAATGAGGTGTTTGATCCTTGTCTCTAGATCCTGTGACACTTCAGATAGCTAATATACATTACATGTACGACAATGTCTGCCCCAGGTTTTTTAGTGTAGAAAAGTATACTAAAAGTAAAGTATACCAATATAGACATAAATATTGGAAGGGTCAAATACTTGAAGAAACAATATGCATTTATTGTTTCAATTAGTCACCTGGGATGCAGGCAGGTGGACTGAAGGACTGGAATCCAGGAGGAGAAAGTGCAGTGGAGACTGGTGCAGGATGGGAAAGAGCCACCAGAGTCCGGAGCTGTGCTTCATCCAGAATTTAGGCATCGCAGGACAGAGGGGGTCCAATGTCTGAGGCCGGGTAGCACGTTAGAAATTCTGAGGAGCACAGTCCACTTGTAGGCAAAAACTGTATGAGGTGGGCGTCAGACTAGTAGGATATTTTCTTTTTTTGTTCTGGCTTATTTTTGCTTTCCTGTTTGTGGTTTGGAGCACCATCCACATATAGAATGAATGTGACACAAAATGGGAGGCAAATGAAGGAGACAATTGAAAAACAGGTCACATGTTTTTCTCTTTTGTTCTGGGCTTATTTTTGCTTTCCAGCTTGTTGTTTGGAGCACGGTCCACTGACAGAATGAATGTGCCAATAAATGTGTGAGGCAGGAACATCTTTTCTTTATTTTTTCTTTCCAGATTGTTTGGAGTGCGGTCCATGTATAAATGATAAAAATGTGAGAAGAGGCGTATGCAAGGTTATATATAGCAGAAGGTATATACAAAAAGTGATATGATTTCCTTTATTGTGGTAAAGAATATTTTCTTAATTTAGATGAGGAGATAGATTCCCATTTGCTTTTGGGTTGTGGGATGGGAAATTTAGTTTTGAGTCGTATTCTTTTAATTAGGTTAGATTGGTCAGGTTACAGGTTTTCCATTCTGGGTTTTCTAGATCTGTAGAATATACACCTCTGGGACGCATAGCTCTGTATGTAGTGTAATGTTTTTATTTACTTTTTAAATTTTTCCATGTCAATATATGACAGATTGAGGCCAGCAGCCATATCACCCTGCAACTCACAACTGGCAACCCACTGAAGCTAAGGAGGTGTGAGCCTGGTCACACTAAGGTTGCTGCTGGAAGAGGTGTTAGTGAGGCCAGCAGGGGGCGCTCACCCAGTGGTCCAGGTGGGTCCTAATGCCCCAGTATAGTGATGGGGACACTATACTGTAAATAAGCGCCGTCCTTTGGATGAGATGTAAAACTGAGGTCCTGACTCTCTGTGGTCATTAAAAATCCCAGGGTGTTTCTCGAAAAGAGTAGGGGTGTCCTGGCCAAATGTCTCAGGCCTCTATGATCCCCCTCTATGAATTGGCTACATTACTTTGTTCTCCTCCCCCCACTCCGACGGCAGGCGGAGCGACGCGCTGGTTGGAGCATTCTCAATTGCAGTTAATGGCAACGTCAGCTCAAAGATTTGGTTCAAACCACCAAATGGAGACTGGTGTGCCGACAAGCGGACCCTGCTGATGCGGGATTAACGCTAGGATGAGAGAATATATGACAGATTGAAAGCTGAGAAACAATAACAATAACTATGATGAGGGCTTGCTTTTGCAAGAAAATACTTTATTTCTCGTAAATAAAACAGCAAGAGGCTGAGGTTCATTGCTTTTCACACAGCTGATGTCACACATATAGTCCATTCACCACAGTCCTCTGGCATTTAATAACTGGCCATGATCTAGAGGAAAAGAAACATGTGTCATCAAGGAGTCCTAAAATACCAAAGACTGACTAAGTAAACTAAGTGTTTAATTCAGAGTACTGATGAGTGATTTTTAGAAAATGCTGCATGAATTGCATATTTTTTCCTCCTCAATTTTACAAACATTAATTATCTCAAAGATTGGACATTAATTTACTTAGCCTTGATTTAATCTGTTAGTTATCATTTTTCATCTGATTATGCTTTTCATCTGCATAACACTACAGTTTTATTTATGAAGAAAAGCATTTGCTACAGGAAGACAGCTGAGGGCCTTCCCAGTCTCATTAACCCTTTTCTAAATGGTGTAGGAGGAAAATGGCAGCAAAATTTGTTCGTGGCTGCACAGATCATGCAAAGAGTCATTAAAGCTCAAGTTTGCATTAGATCCTAAAACACGTGGTCAACAGAGCACATTAAGTAGAACATATGATCAAATGTACTTTGCGAAGCTGTTTTATTCCAGATATCTTCTTTAGTGTAGAATTTCTTAAAAGCAACCCCTCCCACAAATGCTGACCTGTTACCAATAACATTTGCATCCCTCTTTTTCTTCAGAAACACTGTTTGCACTGTTTCACGTTTATTTGTCATTCCAGCCATATTGAACTTACACTGTTGATCCAGCTGATGTACGCAGAGACACGCGTGAAGACTGTAGGCTTCTTGTTAACATTACAGCCTGATGCAGACACAAAGCTGGTCACTCCATGGACTTGGTATCTTCCACTGACGTAACAATTCAGGGGTCCTCCAGAATCCCCCTGCAAAATGACATTAGTCTCAGCCATCGAAGTACTGGCATTTGAACTGCACACGAAGTCTGTGCTTGCAAACATGCCAGTGTGCACAAAACACGCATGTATTATTTTTCTGTGATAGCCTGCCTTCCGGATTAGAGCAGATAATCAGGTATTGAATGCAGCTGTGAAACAAAGTGCCATCTTAATAGCAAACAGAAAAATGTCACTGCTACAGGAAAACGGTGTCTGATGAATCTGTAGTGGGGAGACTTACATTACAACCTGATCTGATTCCATCTCCACCAGCGCAGACCATGGTGGTCTTAACAGTCGATCCCCACCAGGAGCTACTGGAGCAGGTGCTGTAGTCTACAGAAGGGAGATGGGCCTGCTGGAGGGTGCCTGACAGCTGTCCACTCGCTGTTGACAAAAATGTTACATGTTACATCTTAATTTATATGACCAACTTCCTTGTCTACATAAGAATATTGGAAAAATTCTGTCCAGGTGATGATTCGCTGAACCCTCCCACTGAGAATGAGAAGTACTTTGTATGCCCCCTCGACACACACACCTTTTGAAAACATTCATGCCCTGGCATGACCCACATTAGTGCGGATTGGAGGGTTCCAGAGGGATGTAAGAATCCCTATTTTACAGAAGGTTCAGGGAGTCCTGACTACTTCCCTCCTAAAATCAGTTAATTTTGTGCTTGGAAAATTCCAATGTACATTAAGCTTGCTGGCACACAGTAACATCTCATCTGGGCTCTGAGTGCTCATTTGAAAAAGACAGGAAAGTGTCATTCCCAATGTGAAGTCAAAGTAATTTATTTTTGGGACCTGAAGGGATAGGTAATTATTCTTTTTGAGGATGTATCCTTCTATTCATATACGTACTGGAGAGAGACAATCTAGAGACATTTTTTAAAAGGATAAAGTATTTTAATGCATCTTTTAACAACATAATTGTATGTATTTGCGAGTAAAAAGTTTTTTTTTGCAAAAAAAGTGTAGTATTTTATTACCTTCCATTTGAGTTCTCATTTCATTTGAGTGTTTTAGTAAACTGCCAGGAATACACTGATCTGTCTTCCTATTTACAGTCAAATGGGTTCTGTCAGTCAGGAGAGATTTTCCTGTTAAAAACTTACTGCTGGTAAGGCCCCAGCCAGTGATGAAGCACACACTGTTTTGTGGAAGAATGTGGTCAGTGCTGGGCAGTGTGGCCAGTGCGACATATGAGCTCAGGACAGCATTATTCATCAGCTTCATCAAGGCGATGTCAAATCTGCACACAACACAGGGAGCACAGGAAGTGACCAGTTCAGGAAAAATATATTTCAAAGCAATGTTGCCCAGAAGTTCTGAACACAAGCAGGCTCTGTACAGACAGGCGAGTATCAGCAAGACTGAAGCAATTAGTGTCCCCTATTTCCAGAGAAAAGTTCAGCCCGGAATTTTCTCCCTTTAAATATTTTGTTATAACTCTGCAGCAGAACATATCAGAAGTCTGGTTCAAATTAAATTAAATTAAATTGGTCTTAAATTGAAGCTAACCCCCTTGGCTTTAAGTGTGAACAGTCAAATGTCTTTTATCTCTTAATACGTCCACTAAGCGGACAAAGTTATGCAAAATAAATCCAAAAAAAAAAAGCAGGTGGAATTTAGTAGGTGTCTACTAGCTTGGATTAAAATTCGGGACAAATTTATCAATTTGAAAAAATTCTGCATCATTTTTTGAAGACCTGACCTAGAATGAAATGGCTGAAAACACAATGAAAGACAGCTTTTTTCCAGGCGGGGTCGTTCAAAATTCGTTTGCAAAAGCCAATACCTTTCAGTTTCCTCCAGGTCTGGAGGTGAGTAAAAGCTAAGCGTTTTGTGGACATATAACCACTCTTATGGATTTCTGAAATAAGGAAAAACATGGGATTTATTTTTTGCTTTTGCACTTGTTTTGCTGGCTTATTGATTACTTACCGATGCACTTATGTGGAAGTGCGTCAGCAGGTAAAAAGTGTTGTTATGATCGATTGCCGTGGTGTAGGAAAGTTCTGAGAACTGTTTTGTGAAGCCCTGGTTGTCTTTTTTCGATTGATATTAAGTTTACTGTAAGGTTTTGTTTGTTAAACGCGATGAAATGAGATGCGCGTCCTAATGCAAATAATAGACTATCCGGTCCCGCGGCGCAATAGTACTAGGCAGACTTTCGAGGCTAGGTCAATAGCTTTGTGTGTATTTTTAATGGTAGATCAACTGATTTAAAATATTCTTTTTGGCGTAGGTTTTGCGGAAAGGAACTGAGATGAGCAGGAAATGTTGCGAAGAGGAACTGACCCGAAAAAGTTGCCACCCTCTCTCTCTCACTGGTAGTCCCTGGGCCCCATGATGGCTCTTAGCAGCCCAGGGGCTTATAACTCAACTCCCACAACAATGTACAAAACATCCATAATGTATATGCTTACACGACGTACTGATTCTTTTGCCCAATTCCGAAGCTTCTAAAACATTTATTATAACACAAATTGGATACAAACCCAGCCGCCGCATTATTAGTCCAGCTTGAGTGAACCAGTGTCTTCTCCACAGGAATGAATTGCTCCTTCCCATCTATCCCATTAATATTGT